TAAAGAGGACTTTCAGAGAAGTGCTGTTTTATTGAACACATCCCACCTGCTCATCGTTGGGACCATCAGAACTGAGACAAACATTACAGCCAGGAAAGGAGAGAGGCAGAGGAAGACAGGAGGAGGGGCCAGTTTGGGAGTTCGAGTTAGTGTTGGGGATGAAGAAAGGAAGAAAAAGGAAGTTCTTGACTTTCTTCTGTCCCAGATTACTTTAGGTGACATAGGTCATTTCAGGGCACTTTCTAGGACCTGGATGGCCTTATCTCTGTTTTCTTGTAGAGGGGGTCTAGGCAGACATGGAAGAGTCTTGATAACATGCTACATCTGGTCAACGGCTTTCTCCTGGGATCTGAAGGAGCTTTGCTCACATCTCCTTAATTAATATTTAGGGGGTATTTCTGTCACCTGAGGCTGGATTACCCCAATGGGCATTTACCTAGGAAGTGTTAACTGCATGTCCCCCACTGTTCCACTGCTCTGACCTGCTCTCATCAGTATCCAGATGGCCTTCCCTCATGGCCACTCAGTCCATCCGTTGCTCTGAGGAGGTGGCCTGCAATGATGCCGTCATCTGTCTGCATGAAACTTTGGTCATTGTGTCTGCGAAGGATATTTCCTGAAGTAACTCGACATTGCATATGACAGTCAGAGCCTATGAGGAACCATGTCGAATATGCAGTGATGTGATCTCTGCCCCCTAGAAGCCCACCTGAAAGTGGTCTGGGCCACAGTGACACTCAGTGAACACAGATATTGATGACCAGTTATGATTACAGGTTTTACAGAACCATTTTCATCTCCAACTAACACTGACCTGTTCAGAAAGAGTACCATGTGAGTCAATAAAAATAGCCACCCTCATTCTTACTGAATATAGCTCTTCGTAGTTTGCAGTGCAGTTTCACAGACATCTCATCTGTTCCTCTCATCAGCCATGTGATGGTCACCGCGCCTATGGTTCCCTTGATCGTTAGAGAAACTGAGGCCCAGAATTTAGGTGACCTCCACTAAAGACATACGGTTGGTCAGAGATAGAACCAGAACTCAGATCTTGGTTTTCTCAGTACAAGTATCGTTTTTAAAAAACAATAATATCTTGCCTGGCCGGTGTGGCTCAGTGGTTGAGCATTGACCCATGCACCAAGAGGTCGCCAGATTCATTCCCGGTCAGGGCACATGCCCTGGTTGTGGATCCAATCCCCAGTGGGGGACACGCAGGAGGCAGCCAGTCGATGTTCTCTCTCATCGATGCTTCTCTCTCTCCCTCTCTCTTAAATCAATAAAGAAAAAAAAAACCCAAAAAACAATAACATCTTAATCTATGATGCAGCTAATGTGGATGATTTGGTTCTAAACTCTGGAAGAACTACAATGTGGTTAAAAGATTTAGATAGTTTCCCAAGTCTTCTGGTATATATATATATATATATATATATATATATATATATATATAGTTATAGAAATGATATATGTGTGTGTGTTTTTCATTATAGGAAACTTTGGAAACAAATTCATTAAAAAAAAACTAATAAAACTGTCCAATCCTACAAGTCTGAAATAAACACTTAGTATTTTGAACTTTTAAAATTGTATATCTTCCCTGGCCAGTTAGCTCAGTTGGTTAGAGCATCATCCCGATACTCCAAGGTTGCAGGTTTGATCCCCAGCCAGGGCACATACAAGAATCAACCAATGAATGCATAAATAAATGGAACAACAAATCAATCTCTCTCTCTTTCTCTCTTTCTCTTTCTCATATATACAATCAATAAAATTCTATATCTATTAACAAAATTTTAATTGTTTTATATCACAGAATTTTCCTATGCCATTAAATTTTCTGAAGATTAGTTTTAATATATATATTCCATTAAATAAATTCACCATATTTTTTTTAAACGACTCCTTTCTTAGGCTGTCAATCTTTGCTATCAGAAGCTAACCCAACACACTTTTCATCTGAAGTTTGTTTGTTTTTTTAAATCACTAGTAGGATTTTTTGTCCCCATTAAATATCCAAATCTTAAACAGATACTTGGCCTGGGGGTTGCGATCTATCAGCTTGTTCCACTTTAGCACCTGCTTCATCCCAGTAGCTTTTCCAGAATTGCTACCTTCCAGGAAGCTCCATGAGTCTTCCCAGTTCCAACTTGGGCTGCTTCAGCATTTTGACTTTTCTAACAAAGTCGTCAAGGAGCGGATCAATAGATTGGCAAACCTTTCCGTGTCTTTTCCAATGCTATCTGGAATCAGCTCATTAACCACTTCTTTCAAGTAATTTGCTTGCACCCTTCGGGATTGGGCGGACCCGTTGATGCTGAGCATAAGAGGTCTTCTGAATCTGCTTTTGCAGTTTTTAGTAAAACCCACACAGAACAGACGAAGCAAACAACCATCGTTGTCCTGACACCCACATGGGCTTCATCCTGCTCTGCCAGTTTTGACCACGGAGCCCATTCTGTCACGGGTAAGATCCCTGCCATGGAAATCAGTCAGGCAGTTTTTGCCCTGAACGTCCTCAGTAATTAGCTTGAATTTTCTACATGCAACTTCATCCTTCTGCAGATCAGCTAGGCTCACTCCCAAAGCACGACCCTTGAGACCATCAGATATGATTTTGGTTCCTTGAGTTTGCATGACTAGTGATTTCCCAATATTTCTTTTTTTAAATATGTTTTTATTGATTTTTTGAGAGAGAGAGAGAGACATCAATGTGAGAGAGAAACATTGCCCGGCTGCCTCCTGCACGCCCCCTGCTGGGGACCAAGCCCGCAACCCAGGCATGTGCCCTGACTGGGAATCGAACCAGGACCTCTCAGTCCATGGGATGATGCTCAATCCACTGAGCCACACCAGCTGGGCTTCCCACTATTTCTTATGTTGAACATAGCTGGTGCTTTCACATCATACCGATCTTCCCTAGGAAAAGGATCGAGCACTTCCTTCTTGGCTCCCTTCTGCTGCCCTTTTGTAAGGTGCTTGTTCTTGCTGACCGGCCCGTGTGGTGCTGCCCAGAGAACCCAAAGGGCGGAAGTGCAGCTCATACAAGAACTGAGGCGTATGGCTCGTCTAAAGTGTTGTTTACATTGCTGGCCTGGCCGGAGCAGCTCAGCTGGTTGAGCATTTTCCTGTGCACTGAGAGGTCTGTTCAGTTACCGGCCTGGTTGCAGGTTTGGTCCCTGGTCAGGCAAAAGGCAACCAATCAATGTCTCTCTCTCTCTCTCTCAGCATGCCCTCAAGTGAGAACTTAAAGAAAGTTTTGTTTACACTTCTAAATAGTTCATTAAGACCAGTTCCTGGATGTAAGCATTTTATAAAGTATATTATTTATGTTTCGTTTTTGAAATAGAAACAAAATGCTAGCAAAGCAAGAGCTGACTGGCACAAGAGGAATTTGGGGGAATTGGGATGAAGAATAGAAAGATATTTGGTCGGTGGAAATCAGAGGCTCTTCCAGGTGTGTCAGAGAAATGTGTTTAGATCTCAGTTTAAACACCACTTCCTTTTAAAAAATTTTTTTTTCTTTTATTGATTTTAGAGAAAGATGAAGGGAGAGGGAGAGAGAGATAGAAACATTGATGAGAGAGAACATCGATTGGCCTCCTGCATGCCCCCCACTGCGGATCGGGCCCACAACCTGGGCATGTGCCCTGACCGGGAATCGAACCAGCGACCTCTTGGTACATGGGTTGGTGCTCAACCACTGAGCCACACTGGCCGGACAAGACACCACTTCCTTTACAGTTTTCCCAGACACCCTCTGTCATAGACATACCAGCTCTCTGACTGCACGGCCTTCTCCAGTGCCCCCTAGCATCCTGCGTCTGCCCTGTTGTGGCTCTTACCAGGCCATATCCTAACTGCCTGGTTGCCTCTCACTGGCGTCTACAAGACGAGACGCTCCCGAGCAGGGACCCCGTCTGGCATTCAGCACAGTGCTGCCTGCTATGGGTGCCCGTGCTGGTCTCCTAGGCTGTGTAACCACAGCTGTGTATCTTCTCACAGTTTTGGAAGCTGGGAGTCCAAGAGCAAGGTGCCAGGAGGGCTTGTGTCCTCCGAGGCCACTCCACTTGGCTGGCAGAGGGCTGCCCGCGGGCTGCCTTGTCACTGGTCATCCCTCTCTGCCCTCACTTGCCCCTGGTGTATCCAAACGCATTCCTCCAACACCAATCAGATTGGAGCAGGTCCCACCCTACCGGCCTCATTTAAACTTAATCACCTCTTTATTCATCCTTTAAAATGAATTTAGTGGAGTGACATTGGTTAATAAAATTATATAGGATTCAGGTGTGTAATTATTTAATGCATCATCTGTATATTGTATGGTGTGTTCACCACCCCAAGTCAAGTGTCTGCCTTCATTCCCCCTTCACCCTCTTCTGCTTCCCCCCACCCACTTCCCTCTCTGGTCATCACTATGCTGTTGTCTGTGTCTATGAGGTGCGTGTTTTTGTTTTTGTTTTTTTGCTTAATTCCTTCACCTGTTTCACCCAGCCCTGCAACCTCCTCCCCTCTGACAGCTGTCAGTCTGTTCTCTATTAATTTTTTTTTTGAGAGAGAGAGGAAGGGAGAAACATCGATGTGAGACAGAAACATCAATCGGTTGCCTCCTGCATGTGCCCCAACCAGGGGTTGAACCTGCAACCTGGGTATGTGCCCCGACCAGGAATCCTACCACAGCCTGTTGGTGTATGCTCCAGCCGACTGAGCCACACTGGCCAGGGCTCTCTCTTTATTTATTATTTTTATTTATTTGTTTTATCCTCACCCGAGGACATTTTCACATTTATCTTCAGATAGAGTGGGAGGGAGAGAGGGGGGAAGAGACAGAGAGAAACATCGATGTGAGAGAGACACATTGTCTGGTCGCCACCCACACGACCCCAACTGGTTCCGGGGACGAACTGCAGCCAAGGTACGTGCCCTTAGTGGGAACCGAACCCGGGCCTCTCACCGCTGAGCCAAACCAGCCAGGGATTATTTATTATTTTTAAATTTTAAGAAGTATGGAACGCCTCATGAATCTGTGTGTCATCCTTGTGCGGGGCCCGCTCGTCTTCTCTGTGCCGTCCGTTCTGCAGCATGTGTGCCGCCGAAGCCAGCACCGCACCACCTCTTCACAGACCCTCTCTCCAAATCCAGTCACACTCTGAGCACGAGGGGTTAGGGCCACAGATTCAGGGGAACATAGTTCAGTCTATTACATCACCTCTTATATAGTTTTATTGTGAAATATCGGACACGCTTGTAAATGAGTAGGAAGGTAATATTTACATTCCAGCATCCTACCTTCAGGTGATCGCCAACTCCTTTCTGGCCAGAGGTATGAATGATGGAGCCAGTCTGGTATCTCGCAAAATGCGCCCAACTTAGACTCAGAGCCCTCGGTCCCTGGGCTGGCTCTGCCCGTTCTCAGCCGTGGGATCTCAGCCACCCCCAGCGTCAGTCTCGTGTGTACAGCCGGGATGATCACACCTACTGCGGCACACGTGGTGAGACCAGATGAGGCCGTACCCGTGGGCGTGCCCAGCATCGTGTGTGCTGTGAAGTGGACACCAGAAAATGCCAGTTCAGCCTGTCCATGGACAGGTGTGTTAGAAATAAGCAGTGTTTCCAATTTAGCGATGAGGGAGGGCTCAGGTACCGACAAAGCTCTGAAAGTCACCGAGTTTCCAAAGTGTGTTGGTAATCTTCCCTCTGTTGTCTATACACACTGCTGCCCCAGCCTCAGATTTGTTTTCGCTCAGTTATGACTGGTGGTTGACCAACCTTTTATCATTTGGAAAAAAAAAAAAAGGTGGCTATATTAAATTATTTACATATAAAGCTCTTATTTATAACCTGCTGTTTTCAGACTTCACTGAGGGATCTCAGTTCTCGCCCCCGTATTCTGGTGGCTGATCATTGTGGTGTCACCTGGTCACTGTTCTTACTAAGAGCTGTGCTACCTGAGCTTTTTCTTTATTGATTTTATTTTATTGTTTTTATCCTTACCCGAGGACATTTTTGCATTTATTATGAGATAGAACAGGAGGGAGAGAGGGAGGGAGAGAGAGAGAAACATCGGTGTCAGAGTCACAATGGCTGGTTGTCACCCACATGACCCCAACTGGGGCCAGGGACAAACTGCAACCCAGGTACATGCCTTTGCTGGGAACCAAACCCAGGACTCTCAGGTCATTGGGCCAATGCTCTAACCACTGAGCCAAACCGACCGGAGCTACCTGAGCTTTTAAATGTCTTGATGCAAACCATCCTATGTCTCAGTGCGGTGACTGTGGTATCGTCTGTGAGGCATTTTATAAATGGACCTTGAAACGTCATAGGGACATGCGTTCTCCTTCTAGGGTGTGGAAAGAGTGTTCACTGGTGAACAAGCACAGGCCACGGGAACAGGGAGAGAGGCTGGGGGACCTTTAGGATCCCACAAGAATCAGTGGCCCAGAATCAGAGCCCCCCCGACTGGGTTTGTCTAAGCAGCAGTCGTGACCCCATTTGCCACTGACCCGCTTTCCATTGCCCCTTTCTGAGGATGTCAGAGTGATGGCCTTCGGTCGTCTCATTTCTCCAGGGCCAGTTGTTTGCTTTCTCTCTCCATCCTACTGTTAGGCGGCTCTCCTGCGCCCAGCACCATGCTCCCCTCCTCTTTCTTTCCTCTGGCCTTGTTCCTGGTTTCTGTTTCAACAAGCCTGCAGCCTACGTACCTCTCGCATGTTTCCTTGTTGCCCTTTCTGACTGTCTCCTGACCTGCCTCCACGTCTGGGCATTCCGCCACGGTCTGCCTTCCTGTCTCTCATTCATTTCTATTCTCTCTCTCTCTCTCTCTCTCTCTCTCTCTCTTTCTTTCTTTCTTTCTTTCTTTATTGATTTTAGAGAGAGGGGAAGGGAGAGGGAGACACAGAAACATTGATGAGAGAGAACATCAATTGGCCACCTCCTGCATGCCCCCCACTGGGGATTTGGCCCACAACCTGGGCATGTGCCCTGACCGGGAATCGAACCGGTGACCTCTTGGTGCATGGGTCGAAGCTCAACCACTGAGCCACACAGGCTGGGCTATTTCTATTCTCAATCTCTCTCCTCCTTTCCCTCCCTCCCTCTCCCTTCTCTTGTTGCTGCCTCTTCCACTTCTCCACCCACATCCTCCTCCAGCATGAACAGAGGGCATCCCTCGGAGGTGCAGCCACCTCTCATCCGCTGGCCTTCAGGGAGACGTAGGGATCGCGTCCGGGATTTGCTGCACCTACTTCTCCACAAGCCCTGAGAGTGGACGTGGCATTGGTGTGCTCATGGGTGTCACTACAGTAACACCTTCCCCAAATCGTCGCCTGCACGCGGCACAGCTGGTACCCGAGGAGGGGGTTTCACAGCCCCAGGAAAAGCTCCATCAAGTGAATGAGGAGAAGGGAGCTTTGGTTGGAATGGACCTGGGTTTGATTTGAAAATGATTTTGTTTCAACTTTTATCCTGGTTGAGTAGCTTTAGTACACTTGCAGACTTGACTTCTATTTTAAAGGGTTCACCAGTGTTCAACAAGTCTTTATTCAGTTTAACAAAGGCAGTTACACTTGGATTTCACTTAATAAGCACTGGTGATTGTTTTGTTTACAGTTAGAGCTGGATTTACTTATTGACTCAACATTTGGTTATTCTGGTCCATCCCTTGAGATGGGGGTTAAGTGACAGTCCATGTAAGGACAGAATAGAGTTGGATAAAGGGTCTTAGGGTCCAGGTTGAAATAGAGAAGCATTAACCATGGCATTACTGAAAATGAACGACTGTCTGGGGTTGAGTTACGATGATCCAGCCAACTAGTTGATTCATTTGGAGATCACAGCCCCAAAGAAAAACAGGTCCAGCCTGACCTCCTCTCTGTTTGAGGGACCATGAGATGTGACATCTCCTCCTTGCTCCTTGTGGATGGGGCTCTATGATTTGCCTCTCCCCGCCCAGCTCCTAATGTTCAACACGTTTGTTTGCAACATGCATCGTGCAGTCTTCTCAAACTCCCACGTGCAACCATGCGTTACAACCTCACTGCAGAGTCAACCAGCCACGGTCCTTCTGTGTCAGGAAAACCATGGCCTTTAATCAAGATGAAGCATTTATCACACTTTGCAGTTACTCAATCTGTTTTTTATGGGCATCAGTTTTCCTTTCCAGGGTTTTGGAGTCAGAGCACTCACCAGGAAGGCGGATCCAGAAGAGTTCAGGTTTCATGGCCTGCAAATTGGTAGTTACAGTCATTTGTCTTCCTTCCTTTCCCTGGTGTCTGCTCCAACCTGCCTGCAGCCTACGTTGCTGCTTTATTGCCTTCTCTCCGTCTGCCCTGCTGCCTCCATTCGGGGCATGCTGCCAGGGTCTGCAGCTCTCTCTCTTCAGCCCATGTCCTGCCCCTTCCCTTTCTCTCTCCGGCCACTGAAGAAGGAGCAGAAGTGTCAGAACCCTCAGCTACATCTGTGGGACTTTTCCAATGAGTTTCGGAGGCTGATAAATGGTCACCTCGAATATAAGTAACATAAGTACTCAGGGAATAATAGAACTGGTTGTAGAGAGTTGGCCTGCTTGAAAAAATATTGGATATTCTAGGCACTGGCTCTCCACCATCTGTACCCTCCTTCCCTCCTAGCTTTATCTCACACCGTGCTTCCCTGCACGGACTCTGTACCTCAAGCCTCCGTAGTCTCTGTGAACATTCCATGCCGCTCGTTTGGGCCACCTGCCCACAGTGCCCCTCTCCTTCCCGCCGTCCATCTCTCGCCCGTCTGTGAGGCCGAACCTCCCCCATCCTGCCTCCTCCGTGGTGTTCCTTCCTCGGTCACCCCACTCATCTCTTCCTCCTCGTCAGTCTGTGAGAACCCTCTGCATCTCCCCACACGGAGCTTGATCACAACTGTGTCTCTAATGAGGATGGACCCTCCGTGTGACCAGGGACAAACTCCTTGAGCCAGCAGCTGTGGCCACCGCAGCTGCCAAAGGGGAGCATTGACTCGGGGCTCTCTCATCCCCGAAGTCCTTTCATCTGCGCTCTCTCACCTGGCCCTCAGCACTCCGCTGTGTGGGTCTTCAGAAATCGCCGTCCCAGCCGAGTGACTTACTGCACAGCAGGGCTTTCACCATGAATTATTAAAGAGATGGCGTTTAGAAAGAAATGTGGCATTTTCCAATGGGCTATAAATAAGCAATCAGTCCTACTCTGGAAGTTACTCATTTAGGTATTTCACATGAATGAAACACACTTCCTTGATAAACTCACGATAAACCCCAGTCACTAAAACTGTGGGAGCTGTCAGGAAAATTTCACCATGCAAAGTGGGCCATTTAATTTTTATTTTTTTTAAACTATAATTTACATATTAAATTTAAGAAGTATTTGTTTAAACACCAAACATTACTAATTTGTAATCTTCACTAGATAGTTCCTTTAAGTAATTGTTTACATGTATCATTCAAGTGTCTTGGCGCTTACGATCCAGGAATAGTGTAACTTTTCCTTTAGAACTAATCCTCAGAACTGGATAATAGCTAAAGGAAGACCCACCAGACGGTCGCGTGAAGGGCAACAAGAGATTAGATGAGGAAGTTCCATCAGTGATGGTTTGTCTGATGAATCGATGAGAACTCCAACAAGGCTTGGAAAGAAAGGGATACATATGCAAAACACTGTACAGACAGATCCACAAAGCTTCATGTTCTGGCACTGAGAGAAAGGAAGGGTTCTAGATGATCCTCAATGTGAGCTTTAGTGGTGAGGCTACGGCACTGCTTAGTTTCAGTGTCTGGCACGTGGTACACGCCAGAGAAATGTTAGTGTCCTTTATTGAGATTGGACAGCCCGTACCATGCCAGTCTTCTACCACCTCTCCATGTGGGGAACATAATCAGTTCCCTCTCCTTTTATATTACATAGAAAGATCATGGCAGTCATTGGAACAAAGACCCTTATTCTCAGCTCTTTGGAGGAGCAGGCTTGGAGGAGGACAGGCCAACATGGGTCAAGTCAACGTTCACGGATCTGACGCAGACACAAGGATTTCCTCTCACACGTTGCATGCGTTGTCAGTGGCCGTTAGGTTCACACGTTGCTGGGCTGTTGGGTGGAAC